GTTTTGGCATGAGGGTAATCTTGTCCATCACGTATTCGGTCCGTTGATGAACGGACCCATTTTCGTCGGACGAGTTGGAAACCGGTTTCTCGTGAAGAACGGCGTCTTCAAAATCGTGCAGCATTCTCGTAACCTCGATTTCGACGTTGGAGAGTGTTTCTTCGCATCGGATTACGATTTCCCTTCCCGGTACGGAATCGAAGAGGGCCTTCACGTTCGGCAAGATCGATAGGAAGGAGTCGTAAACGGTGAAAACGGTCTCCATTCTCTCGTACGGCTGATTGCTCAAACTCATGGACTCGGCGAAGCTGAATAGACCGGCGGCGAAATCTTGGACCGTTCCGACGAAGCACTCGTCTTTCGCGGGACCGTTGATCCCGACTATGCCCTGGAATATTTGGTCGCATAGTTTTTTCTCCCTGTCGAATAATTTCTTGACGCAGATTTTGGAGAGCTGGACCCAGAATTCCATTTTGATTTTCAGTTCGTCCCATAGGTATCTTTTGGCGTTGAGATTTACGCTCAGCTCCTCGAACCGGAGCCGGCTCAGCTGAGCCTGGAGAAAAGTCCTGTTTAAACATAATTAATTAATTTAAGGTCAAATTCCACTTTTGCCTCTTGTACTTTGGCTCAGTATCACTTTATCCCTTTTTATTGTCGATTGCATCAATTTGCCCCATGTACTTGAAAAATTGTCTCAATGTGGCCCTTGTTGTTAGTTTTCAGACATTTGACTTTACCACCGTTTGGTCTAAGGTCTGAAAATTACAGAAATACCACAAAAAACCCAATTTTGCAGCATAGTCAACCACGGCAGCCACCAAAAGGCCAATTTTTTTTAACATTTTTTTTAAACTAGGAGGGGTGGCGTTATTGTAATTTTCAGAGCTCAAATCAAATAGTGTTACGGTCAAAAGTCTTAAAGCTAACGACCGGGACCAAATTGAGACAATTTGTCAAGTGCAAGAGGCAAATCAATGCAATCGAGAGTAGAAGGGTGTAAATTGACATCGAGCCAAAGTACGAGGGGAAAGTGGAATTTGCCCTTAATTTAATTGATTATCAGGGACGATGATAATATAATAATTAATTATTTTAATTAACCGAACCTTCTGACGCTCTTGTAGGCTCGGATGCAATCGGCGAGTTTGCCGCCGGAGTTCATTCTTTGGGCGATGTTCTTGAGATAGGTGATGACGTCGGTGCTGGGTAGATCGGAGATGACGTAATCCTCGTAGCGGAAGGCGTAGGCGGTGCTGTCGGCGACGGAGCTGAATTCGGCGGTGGTGGTGATGGTGGAGATGGGTCCGCCGGCTTGGTAGTCGGCTTGGCGGCTAAGGACGGCGATGAATTCGCGCTTGAGCCGAGCCATGGCTATGGCTATGAGGTCCTTGTTGTTGGTTTCCTTTGAGTTTGGCGGCGATTGGGTGAGTTTGTCGACGGCTTCCATGTACTGGCTGATTTCGCGGCGGCTGGAGTCGAAGATGAGGACGTGGGGCGGGCGGGATCGCCACTGGGTGATTGTATCGACGGCGGATTGTTGGGAGAGAGACGACCCCATTACTGTATGGAGTGTGGCTACTATGGTTTTCAGCATTAATTACAGAGCTCGGAATCTTGAATTTCCGGTGCTGGATTTTTCTTTTTTCTTTTTTGGACAGGGTTTAAGGAAGGAGAGAAACAATCATTGGAACATTTCCGATGATTATTTATTTTTATTTTAATATATAAATATATTTCTTTGTTTTTTGACAAAAAAAAAATAGAAAAAAGAAATTCAATATGATAAAAACGCGTTTGGCCAAGCATTTGTTTTTTGTGTGACAACACGAATTAAACACGTCTTTTAGTTACTACAGTTCAGTTGACTTGCAAGACCTATTCAACAATAATGTATTATTATTATTATTTTTTTTTTTTATTATTTATTGTTTTTTTTTTTCTTTTGGAATGGCTTTAACTAGTGTACCTTTTTTTAAAAGTGTATATATTATAAACGCAGCTAAATTATTCATGCACTACTGAGGTATGCCGAAATAATTTTAGTGTATGTGGTATCGTTTATCCGAGTCAAGATTTCATTCATGTGGACCGATAATACACTATATTTGTTTTCCGCGGAGCCGTTAATGCAACCATGATGAAAATAATAAATTCTTATATATAATAATAATAATAATAATAATAATAATAATAATAATAATAATAATAATAATAATAATAATAATAATAATAATAATAATAATAATAATAATAATAACTCTATGTTGTCTCCACAACTTCCAGAAATTAATAGTCCGTTAGAATCCTAACGAAATAACTTATCCAATGGATTACTCTGCCAGTGTTTATTTCACTGTTTCAGGATATCATTGTAATTATCGATACTACAAGTACCATAAAAACGTTTTAGTATACTTCAGGGTTGTAGCTGTAATTTACCCTATAATATAATATTAACTAAAATTAATTATCTTCTTCTTACTACTTAAAAAATCATGAGCTGGATATAGTTGAATGTGAAGCACCAATTCCTTACTAGTTTGACTATTTACTAATTTAATCAGGCTGTGGCTTGATTGGATTGAAATAATAATACTTAATTCGAGAAGTGTTTAATTAAATGTATATATTCGAAAAGTTTATTTGTTTAACGTCTTATTTAATGGGAAAATTGTCGTTTTCATCCCTCAAGTTTCCACGGATTACATATTTGATCCCCTTATGTTTATAAAAAAAACACATGTGATCCATCATGTTTAAGAAATTTAACACTTTTGATCATTTTTATCAATTTACCATTCGTCCATTAGTTAAGTCAGTGATAAGCACACACTTGATTCTGTTAGTATTAACTGAAAATTCACGAAAATGACTAAAAGTGTTGAATTATTTAACTTGAAGGACCAAATGTATTTTTTATAAACATGGGGACCAAATCCGTAATCGGTGCAAACTTGAGGGATAAAAACTATAATTCTCCCCTATTTTAATTTAACTACTTGAACTGTTATGAATGGTGATAAAAATAAAATATACTATAACATAGACAAATAACTAATTAACATAATTAAAATAATAAATAAATATAAATTTCATAAAAAATAATGGTCTCATTGGGTTTATAAAGTTCAAGAAAAAGACATTATTTTTGCAAGAAAATGTAGTGGGCCCCAACCTAGGCCCGTTTGTTACTTCGGCTTTTCTAAAACTGTCTGATTTTTGTAAGAAAATCTAGTTGGCCCGAATATAGGCCCGTTTTTACTTCGGCTTTTTTAAAACTTGCAAAAAAATGTAGTGGGCCCAAACATAGGCCCGT